TTTTTTTTTTTTTTTTTTTTTTTTTTTTTTTTTTTTTTTTTTTTCAAACAATTTTAAACAATTGACAAGAAGAAAATAAACCTCAGTCATATAGACAAAAAAGCTTAGATGAAACGCGGTTGTTGAATTTTTCACCTATGAAACGATGCAGTTGGAAACGTATACATATAATTGTAATGTTTACCGATCAAATATTATAAATATACGATATACTCCCTGTATGGTTTGTTTGAAGAAAAAAAAGTTAGCGTGTAAATAAATGTATGTTGTAACGGCTCACCTCTACTTGTATCTTCGTGACGGAGACCTCGATGGGGGCGGATCTGAGTTTTTCGCGATAAACAACGTCCGAGTCGTCGCCGTTGTCGTACCTCCGGCGCGCTGAGCTGCCCCGCTGCTGCATCAGGTCGAGGGCCCTCTCTAATCGCTCGCCGCAGCGACAGTCACCCCCGGAAAGCATCAGGGACAATGCAACCAGGATCAAACGCATCTTTCCGCTGCTTCCGTCTCCAACGAGTATACTCTTGGATTTTGGTTTTTCCTACCCTCTCCAAGCTAATACCGATTTTACCGCGATCCGACGAGCTTGAGTAATACACAGTTGGCCGATCGCGGTTGTTAATATAGTGTCTCCGTATGTAAATGCAATTCGTTGTCCATCACACGCAATCACATTTCGCTTACGAACGATTCACCAACCATTGGGGGGGTATAACTGTTTTATCCTTTGTATACGCGGCTCATCTGGCGCTCAGCTAGGGTGCAAAGGAGCAAGTGCGGCGTCGAGAAGTATACATCGATTGCCTGCAGCCACGCTCTGCACCGGCAATGTGGGCAAAAGCAACTTGTACGATGCACGTTAAAAAGAAAAAAAAAAAAAAAAAAAAAAATGCGTACTCGATAAGATTACATATACATGTGTTAAAGTACATCCTGTACAGGAAAGATTTGAAGAAAGTTGACAGACATTTTAATTTTTATGTGGTAATTATTAATCATAATACTAAAGTGATTTTTCCATCTTATATGTGGATAGATACTGATAGACTTGTTGTCGATTCTCTTCATGCTCGTGATAAAAAAGTTTTGACCATTTGATGTCAAAAACATATTTTTAAGCATTTATAATGTAATATACATTTTGTAGCTTTCCGATTTACATAATTCTAGTACAAAAACTATTCAGTAATTACGTGTTATGAATTGTGTGTATTTTTTTATTTACTCCTTAAGACAGTAATGTGCATACGTGTATTACACTTGTACAAAAACATTTACACATCGCGATTGCGCGTATGTTAATTTTAAAAATATTCACTTCGAAAATCTGACCTTTGTGTTTTACAAAGGTACATAATGTATCGAGTATCTGAAAATTTACTGTTTATAAGTTGAAAAAAAATTCAATGTCTGTTTAATTGGCTTACAGTAAAGGTTTTTCTCGGGTTGATTATCCGTCATGTTAACTAAACAATGCAACATTGCCGTTCGAAGCATCCGTACATCTAAAAGTAATTATTATTACTACCTTTACTGTGATATGTGCACGAATAAAATTTACTCATTGAAAAAGACATTGTTTTGTCTTGGAAATAAAGTATCTTATTGTTACGCATTGGTTTTATTTTAAAGACAAAACAATCATTATACATACAGTTTTCCTGTTTAATAAGACGGTTTACTCTTTAATAAAGTCAATTTTTACGACACAAAGGTTTTCGCATTTTTTTGCTAGTATTTCACGTGATTGATCTACAAAAAACTAAGATGTAACACGTAATTTTAAGAAATTCTTATCTAAAAAGGAAAAAAAAAAAAATTTTGTACATAAAACGCTGAGCTACTTATGCTACTCAATGAAGAATTGTAAAATTGCTCTACTTATTTAGCAGAGAGATATAAAAAAAATTAAATTTTCCTGCGACGAAGACGCGCCTTCGTAAAAGTACAAACTCGTCTCGCCGCGCAAGGGAGACCGACTGCAAGTGTAGATCATCACACGCTGACTTGCTCATCTCATCCGTAACTAATGGTGTACCCCATGGACAGCATGAGCGTCTCCTTGATAGCCGGATGAAGTTGGCGCTCGATGTAGTGGGTGATGGCTTGGCTGGCGCTCCTCAGGAACACGTCCTCCATCTCGCGGGCAATGTCGCCGCGCGAGCGCCAAAGATTGTCAAGTATCGCGTCGTTGTCCGCGTTGTCACCCAAACGGTTCTCCTCGTCGTTGGCCAGGCCGATCACACCGGCCACCTCGTCGATCTCCTCGCCGTTCACGCCCTCGTCGTGTTGCACGTCCTCGTCCTCGGCGTCGTTGTCAAAGGCCGACGAATTGAACACCGAGTTGTAATCGTTGCTTGCCTGTTGTCGACAGTTCATTAATGTTATCTACGTATTTTGTATAATAATCGCGAGTACTTTGTTTATAACATTTTCGCAAGCGATTCTAGTGAGGAAATACCCCTTCCTTGCGGAATTTTATTGGCGATCTTGACCTACAAGAAAGTTGCTCAATAAATTGTAAAAAAAAAAAAAAAAAAAAAAAAAAAAAAAAAAAAAAAAAAAAAAAA